TGCCACTGAGTATACCGCTGGAAAGACAACAAAAAAATAGTCGGGATGCACTTAAGAATCGCATGATTCGGAGTCCGGACGAAGGAGAAACGGCCTGACGAAGAAAAACAAGCACTTAAGGCTAAAAGGGTAAACTGGTAATTATGCAGGAAGATCCTGGTGCAACCGAGTATACCGTTGGAAAGATAGCAAAAAATTAGTCAAGGTCAAAAAAAAGTTCACTTGATTTGGAGTCCGGACGAGGGAGAAACGAGGGTTTGAAATTGAAACGTCGTGGCGGCCTGACGAAGGCCATGGCGCCCATGCACGAGCCCATCGGCACCCATGCTGGCGCCCAATGGCATGCACCAGCTGACAGCAAGAAAAAAAAAGTGAGGTTCCAGAACTGAGGCTTGAAACGGAGGCCGAAACGAATTTTTCTGGAAAAATACGAAGAAGAAACCCCCCCCCTAAAATCGAGTTTTCTACCCGACCTTGCAAACGGAATTGAAAAAAACTCACTGTGAAATCCCCAAAATGCCCCTAGATCAGAACTGAACAAGAGGGTTAAAAGTTGCTACAGTGACTGTCTACAACTGAGAGCAAAAACGGGCTAGAAGATGAATTTTTCTGGAAAAATACAAAGTAGAAACCCCTCTCAAAATTGAATTTTCTACGTGACTCATGAGAGAATTAAAAAAAAATACAATGTAGAATGCCCGAAATGCCCCTCCATGAAATCTGGTCATGGAGGTCCAAAAAACTACTAAAAAAAAACAGAAAGCTGAATTTTGCGACCGATTTCCGGCACGAAAACGACATTTTCTGGAAAAACACGAAAAAAAAACCCCCCCTAAAATCACGTTTTCTAAGTGACCATGAGGAGACCGGAATTTATTTCCGGAAGAAAAACCCCAAAGTGTCCCTAAACCAGATTATGCAAAAAAAATGCAAATTGAATCCCTAGGAGGCTCAAATTGCTAAGGAAGAGGTTTTTCCCGAAAACGATCATGCACGTAGACGTAAATGGTGATTTTGAGAGTGCGGGAATGGTCTGCGGCTCCCGGAAATGGCTGAGTCAAAATCTGACCCCCCAATGGCCAAAAAGGCGAAAATGAACTTGAAATGGAAAATATGGAAACCAAAATTAGGAAATGGTTTCAAATGACCGTTTGGCCCTTGGCCACACTTCATACAAGATAAATGAGACCTAGTGGAGCTGCCGGAACACACTTTGCACCACCCGATTTGAAAATAAACCCTTAAAGGCTCGAATTCTACTATTTTAGCCCAAAATGCAATATGTGAACTAAAATGCAAAAATGAACACTAAATGGTGTTTGGCCCTTGGCCACACCTCATACATGATTATAGAATTCCTATGAAAAAGAAAGAGTGGAATTCCCATGCCCAATGCAAAAGTTATGAAGAAAAGACTTGTGAATTTTCAATGTCTTCATAACAACTTTGAAAATAAAGTGCATAGAATACATAATATATGTTATTAGCCATCGGCCTCATCTTATACATGTTGAATACAATGAAAAGAGTGCACTTATGCACACTTTACATACATAGAATCAAAGAATACAAGTTTTGTCATGAGAAGCTACAAATCATCCAAGGCAATGAAACCTTCAAGTCTTGAGTCCTGTACCTGAAATATGCCCCAGTAACGTAGGGGTGAGCAACATAAAGCTACTCGTAGGAGATGAGCACGCATTGACCTAGCATTTTACAATTTTATTACCTTAAGGTGAAATATATCAGAGGGGATCATGCCACCTAACGTCTATGTCACAATGAGACTCAGGGAGCATCCTAAGCTACCCTAGAGTAATAATCAACAAGAATCATGATACTTAAACACGTATGAAACGAATCAAGATTTGGATAATTCAAAGAACATGACAAGAAGGATGCTTGAATACAAGTTAACAAGAATTACATTATCAATGCAATTAGGCAAAGTTTGGAATAATCCATACAACACGACAAGAAGTTACTAGAATACAAGTTCACATTGTCAAGGCACTTTACATGATTGGAACATACTATTTAACATGACAAGAAGTATATTCGGATATAAGTTAGCAAGAATTACATTATAAATACAATTGGCATGATTGGAGCATTTCACATACATGAAAAGTTTAAATCTTCAAAGAATAGCAACTTGAAATTTAAAGAGTGAAATCAAACAATATGGAAACTTGGATATCGCCCGGATTAAAACCGTACTCTTGGAATCGCTTTAGGGTTACTAACCCAAGGGTACCTTCCCCTATACTTGGGATCACTTTAGGGATTATCAACCCAAGGGTACCTTCCTCTATTCTTGGGATCATTTTAGGGATTATCAACCCAAGGGTACCTTCCCCTATTCTTGATTGATATCCCAAGTTCCAAAATCAACAAGTTGTGAAAGTCAAGATTGTATCAAATACAATACATACATTAACCACGTTTCATGCACAATCAAGATTTTGGAACACGCAAGTCATGCCCCTAGTTCATCAACTATCATGGCATGTGAGATGACAAGAAATCATAGTATGCAACTATATAGATAACATCCAAGATATATAGCACATGGAGTTCATTGAAGTAAATATACCACAAGTATGAGATACATAATTCAATTACTTTCTAAGCAACATATGAGTAATTAAATCATTCCAAGACAAGTGTGCATGTTCATTAAGTACATTAATGAAACCTAGATACAAGGGGTCATGATTAAACCGATGGAAGCATAAAAAGGAAAATTTAATCAACCTAAGGGATTAAATTATCACGATTACGAGGCAAGTCCAAATGTTCTATGAACAAGGTGTGTCAAGGATCATATCAAGGTCAAGTTCAATGTCAAGTTACAAGTCCATTTCATGCAAGACATAACCATGTGAATTAAGTTCCATACAAAGGAAGTAAATGAATATAAGTTTCAAACTTATCCGATTATTCTCAATTTGATACATGTGAAGGAATTTGTCACGAAAAGCATGAATTCCAAGTTAGAAACTTAATCAAGACCAATGAGCTATTGAATGGATTTTAATTATACACTTAATTAAAATCTCTAATTTTTGAAATTCATCCAAATGATCTCAAATTTAAATATGTTATACAATATACCATGACATGATTTAAAAACACGACACAAGTGAATTCCATGCAATGAATGGTTATGAGCATTAAACTTTAATACTAGAAAAATAATAAATGATAGATTTCAAAACTTAACCAAATATTTTATATTTAATATATGTGAAACCATATAGCATGCATATCATGAATGTCAAGTCGGAATTCCAATGGGGTGAATAGTACATCCGAAATAAATAAATTAATCTAATTAATTAAATATTACTAGATTTCAAAACTTCTCCGATTACTCTCAATTTAATCTATGTTGAAGAGCATGCTAGGGCCTAATATAATATGCTAACATACATCGATTTCAAACTAATTAAGGCCACATGAATTAATATTTTATTATAGTAAAATATTAAATAAAATCTTCATTACTTGTCCAATTTCTCTCAATTTAATATATGTTAATCAACATATCAAGGGGTAATATTCTATCATGCCACATCATTAAACAAAGTTATGGACAACCGGAAAAATTAAATCATTCACAAGAAAATTAAATAATAAAATCTCTAGATTTCATATTTAAGCATGTAAACAAGTTGTATAAGCATCAATAGCATGTTATATAACAATAATTAAACCTTTAATACCCCCTACCTCAATTTGAGATGCAAACCTCAAAGGCCGACTGAAAAAAAAGTGTTCTGAATCCGCCGAAACCGAAGGGTTTTGTCGGGGACAACACGATCTACATGAATCCGAAGGAAGCCCCATGAAAATCACAACTTGACCTCAAACCCAAACTCAAGAAATAGTCAAAAATGAATTCTAATAAGGGGGAATGGTAGAACACGTCAAGGGGAACAAAAACCATGAAGGCCGAAAACTTTTTACTTAGAAAAAGTAAATCAAAGGAGGAGAGAGAAGGTGGCAGCTCCATGGGCATCCATGGCTGCTTCAGGTCGTGCAAGGACAGTGGGGAAGATGAAAAATAAAATATTTCATCCCCTTTTTAATGAAATCTCAAAAAGTGCCCCGAACGGGCCCCGTAGGGTCCGGAAAAGTAGAATTTGAGTAAAAGAGCTCAAATGGCAAAACTCCGTGAACAAAAAAGATTCAAAATGAGAAAATATGAACAACGGAAGAAATGGCATCAAAAATTGAGTCCCGAGCAGAAAGTTATGTCCTGAACAAGTTCAGCGGCAACCGGATCGAGAAATTCTGAAACTGGAGAAAAACGACCAGAAGGAAATTTTATGAATTTACGAGTCAACGAAAAGTGAAAATGAATTCCGTACGAGGATTCAGGCTCCAGACGAGATATTTTGTAATAACTTTCGTTAATTGCACAATGGCCCCTACAAAAAAAAGGTTAACTACTAAACTGCCCCAGAATGAAAATGTCTTCCAAAAGATATTTTCTTAGATACCCCTGAAATAAAATATCTTCAAAAGATATTTACGAAAAATACCCCAAGAAAAGAAAAAGATTCTGAAGAATTGTGCATCCACGCTCCTATGGACACTGTGATCAACCAGAGTACTTTCTTGCAAAAGTAAAGATACATATTTCAAGGACACTCAAGATGAAGGCACGTGAAGTCAAGAACCAACTCCGAGCATGAGAAGTGAGGTTGTGCCAATAATGTGACAAACGGGGAAAAGACAGAATAGGGAAAAAGACGAAACAGGGAAAATGACGAAAGACGCATAGTGTCCGAAAAGTGAAAATGCGAAAATGACTCGGTCCTCAAAGGAAGTTGTCAATTCACATGAAAGAGTCTCAGAAACCAATTCCGAGCACTCGAGATGACACTAAGCGACACGAAACAGTGCTCAGAAAAGAAAATTAAACGAAAAAAATTCATTCGTAAAATTTCAAGAAAAAGGAAAGAGAGGCAAATGACCGGGTCGTTACACTAAGCAAATTAAATGATGAAATTTCTAAATCTGAATTCCAATGTGTGGAATCTGCATTGCAGTAGCCTTCAAAGTTCTCTCATTGCTTTGCTAGATGATATCACTTTCTAGACAGGCTTGCTTGCATTTGATGTTCGATAGCCTCCCCTTTCTGTATGTGCTTATATCACAACTCTCTTAGGTGCCTAACAAGGTTCCTGTTAGGCGCTAAATGTAATACATTTTAGCCCCTTAATTTACATGTTTTATTCTCTTAATTGTAATTTATTTGTGATTTAATGATTTTTAATTATATAAAAATAAAGAAATAAAAACCATCCATTTCAAGTGTTTTCCCATCACAAGACTCTTAACAAAATAACAACCAATCATAAGTACTGCAATAAAACTGTTTTTGCAATTTCATTGGACAATTTTGCTCTTCCAGGGACTCAAATATGATAAAATAAAAAAAATAAAAATTAAAAAACAAACTAGATCAAAGCAATAGAAGCCATTCTTGAATGAAAGCATCTCATGATACTCTTTAAACAGAAACGAGACCAATACAGTTGCTTCACAAAATAAGAACTCAATTCCAACACAATTTTCAAAGCTTATTGGCAATGGTAGATAACCCAAAGGCATCTAATCTGTTAATGAGCAGTAAGTAAGTATCTCATTTTGATATAGATAGAAATAAATAAATAGTTAGTTCCAGAATCTTGTTGTCAAAGGACAATCTCAATAGCATTACTGTAGTTTAAATATGCAGATAATAGCCACGTAAAACATTATTTTTTGATCTTTCTAACATTGTTTCTAATAGGAATGAACTTGCGTGAAATAAGAAATTTTTAAGAAAAAGTATGATTATTCATTAAAGTATCACTCTTTTTACTTATCAAAAAAAAGTACCACTCTTTTAAGACCCCACAATAAAACAATCCAAACACAAACAAATGACAAAGACCCCAGTCATACATCTCCTTTCGAAACAAAAGCACCAAGGCATTCATATCACCCACAAAATAAGCCTACAATTTGGTAACAAAAAAAAAAAACTACCTCAAACATAAGTCTGGTCATCTTCGTGCTCTTCTGCCACCAAGGACTCAAGCCTGCACAAAAAATAATCTAAGTAAAAAAACAAAACTAGATCAAAACTGAAAGCATGGTTGTAAAGGAACGAGACCAATACAGTTCCTTCACAAAATAACAACTCCGCATAAAGCACAATCAATGAAATGCATTTCTAGACCAATGGTTGTAAATGATCATTTGACTTACCCCGCTCCCAAACAATTCCTTTAAGAAAATTTTCAATAACCCCATACTGGCAGAGGAACCTTTGGAGAACCGAGACTGCTTCTGGAAAAAAGAGCAAAAAGTTGTGTGTCTATGAAATCTATGTTCATGTCTTTTCCCCACGCTGGATAATTTGTGGCTGATTTTTTTCTCTTCCCTTCAGGCAATTTCAATCTCTAAGGAATCTATAATGAGCCCAAGAACTCTGGAGATTTTTATTTAATACATTCCCAGGAAGTGAATTTGTTGGTACCCTATCGCGCCAACTTGTACCTGGGTCGGATCCACCCGGTCGTAGTATTAAATTTTTGGGGAGTAGATCCACTATGTGCTGGGCGCTGCCTGCCCCAAGTGAGTCTATTCTCAGATATAACGCTCACCAAGAAGTATGCCCTTTGTCTTCCAGTCATGAGTGCAGAATGATACTGAAGCAGAAGTTTCACCCCCTATTAGTGCAACAAAGAAAAAAAATGATTACAATGGAAATTAATGAAGACAGCATATTTAGTATACCAAAGACACAGAAACAAAATCACCTATTCATATTGCTCATTCTCAAGAAAAAAGTATACTCCTTCATATCTAAAGGTGTCCGGTTCTCATTCGGAAAGAGCTTTTCCTTGATCCAACCTTATGGTACGAACTTCGTGTGCTCAATAACCTTGATAATAGTCAGCAATTTTGGGGTATCATTTGTAATGAAAACCCTCCAATCTGCACTGGTGTAATAAACTTCCTCATTCATCTTTAGAACTAAATCAACTAACCCCCTTAATAAAAGAAAATGTTAGCATATTGATTACAAACTTGAATTGCTAAATAAATAGCTAACAATAATTACCTAATTATCATTTGACATCGAGGAGTTGGTCTTGAATGATCAAGTTCCTCTTCACACTAAAGAGATTTATCTTCAAACTGAACAGGATTCTTCTTCACCCATTGCTCAATTGTTTGAGTACTGTTCTCAAACAAAGCCTTATGTGTTCCCGAGTCAAATCCTTTGAAGTTCAACAGGTTCTGGTGAACCATTTTGTGGTTGCCTGTGAAATCGTTCAGTTTTGTATTCAAGTCAAATGGAATAGTCAAATGGAACAACAAAATGCCTACAGTCTAGATCCTAGATATATGCAATATCAAAATTTTCACCATCTCTCTTTTTGGTAATTATGCAATTATATCCATGTATGTACATGGTTTCCTTAATCTCCCTTTTTGACTCCCATTTTGACATTCTAAAAGAGATAACAATAACATTCAATATGAAAGAAACGTGCAAGAAAACAGAGAAAAAAATAAAAATAAAAACACCTCTATAATGGCTGTCAATATAAGAAGATTAAACAACACATATAAGCAAGGCCGGATCCAGAATTTCTCATTGGGGTGGGCTAAATCAAAATATATATGAGTCTAAGTATAAAGTTATAAACATATATTTAGTATATATGTATGATATACGTAGTATCATATTAGATTAGTAAAGTAAGTTATAAATATATAATATTAATTATTGTCTCTGCTTGTAACTTTGAGTGCATCAAAGCTTTCCATTTCATTGTTGTACACTTCCAAGATCCCATGCGTGAAACAAGCCAAAAGCTCACAACCCTTTCATTGGTTCGCAGTTGTTGCACACTTTTGTACTCTCAACCATATATCTTTATCTCTACTAGTCCATATCTATAGAAGTCTCTCATGCCAATATTAGTCAAGACACTCAGAGAGATTATTTTGTCCTAAGTTGGGTAATTCTTATTGGTGGACTCTCTCTTCTTTGATGTTTCAGTTTCAACATTTCAGAAGCTCTGTTAATGCTCAAACTGATAAATTAAAATTGCATAGTCTTCTTTTTCTTTTTCACAGATAAAATTAGGGTTTAGAGAGATGAAAAAGAATAGAGCCCAAGTATATGAATCATAATACATACCATTGTTTCAGAATTTCAGGAACTGAAAAATCGTGTGTGAAGTGACCGAAGATTCTTGTAACTAAAAGAATTAGACATTATTCTCAATAATATGTCTTCAACTCTAAATCTCTTTCAATTCTAAGTGCTTTGACTTAATTTGAGTGCATCAACATATTATCAACATCATCAGTCGTCATCACTAGAGTCAACATTGACATAACATCCTCATAATGTTGACATTGACATCCTCATATAGAATCGTCATCTAGAATTACGTAATCCTCTTACATAGATATACATTTGATCAAGATAAAGATAAATTGAAAAGAGACTTCCTATCATAATTAGTCATTTTAAAACCAACATCACTGCTACAACGATAAGGAGATTTATATAATTCAATTAGCTAGGCAAAAAAAACATACCTATTTTCTTTTTGCCATCTCCGCCCATTCCCATCAATTCTCTTCTTTCATAAAAGAGACCTATATTATTAGGACAAAAGAGGAAAAGTTTTAAAAGCGTTAATAAACTTGTAAAACATGTATTCTGAAATTGAAAACTAAACTTCCAAGTCTTTAATTCCCATTAATAAATTGTTCGAGCATCACATCATAACAATATTATATATATGTATGTAGAAACAAAAACAAAAACAAAAAATCAGTATGTAAAACATGAATAAATAAACTTAACCAATAGCTAAAAATGCCTATCAAAATTTTAGAAAAACTAAGAGCTTGTTACCTGATGACTGAGGAGACATGTTTCTTGAACCTTGTTCTTGCTAAATGTTAAGGCCCGATGCTAACCCTAAAAATAATAAAACACTCAAGTTATGAGGAAGAGGTTTCAGAATCTCACTCATAACAATTAAAACACCACCATCCAAGAATTATCTGTATTATGTATCAATCCAACCCAACTATGCTTTCAGTCAAAATGTTGGACACATATCCGTAGAAAGAGGTGTGATTAGCACATATTATACTCAGCTCTTATGTTAAATTAATCCAATAACAAAGTACAATGCATCAGTTTAGGAATAATCTTCAAAATTAACAAATCAATACCCTGATATTCTGCATTCTAATAACAAAAGAAAATCAAAAACCAAAATTTGAAAATAAAAATATGGCAGAAAGATTGAATATATCCTTCGTGCATTACACAAATTATATTTCTATGTGAAACAAAACATCCAGGATTTCTCAATGGGGTGGGCTAAATCAAAATGTATCAACCAAAATCAACTGTTGTTTAATTCAATTTTAGTTAACTAACAATGTTTCTTTTAGACAATTGACTGATTAAGGCATAGAAAATCCTATTTGGGTAGTTAATAATAATAATAAAAAAATACCAATTTATTTTTGAACAATTCACCACTCAGTACCCTATTTCTTCTTTTGACCAATTTACTAATCCTATTTGAGAATCTACTAGTGGAAGCAGAGTGTGAGGTAGTTCATGGCATGTTTTACCAAAAAAATGCCATATATGGAATTCACTCCAAAGCATGCTTTTTGTAACTATTTTAATTTTCAAGAAGTAACTTTAGAGCTTTACCCTATATTAAGTACTTTTGGTTGTCAAAGTTCTTGTTATGTTTTTTTTTTTTTTTTTTTTTTTTTTTTTTGGTTCTGAAAAGATTTCAATCTTCAAAAAGCTTGGCATGTTGAAAAAAATTGTTTCAGATTCAACCTCTGCAGATTTCAAATCCAATTCAATCCAATTTAGATTCTTTTTTCATGCCCAGATTCAAATTTTCTTGTACACATAATTGACAGAAAAAAAAAAAACAGAAATAGAAGTTATAGAAATAATATATATATATATATATATATATATATTTGCTTTGCTGAAATAAAATGTAGATTACAGTGAT